CAAGACGACGATATTAAATTTAAAGCCGCACAAGGGCAGTGTTCTGGGGAACGTGGTGTGTACCTGTGTGTGTGGGTGTGTGTGTGTGTGTGTGCGCGCGTGCGCGCACGTGTGTACACGTGTGCGCGCACATCGCTATTTCAGCTAACAGTTCTTCGCGAAATTATACCTGAGTCCTCAAGTGTACGAGCGCGAGAGAAAGATGAGACAATTGCGAAATAAATCTCAAGAATCGAGAAAATTACGTGTAATGCCGGCGACGCCTATGAAATAACAATGAGAATCAACGTGTGATTATTCGCGGAGAGATGACGTAATTGAGCGGTGGAAATCGAGTCAGTCGGCGTAGCAAAATATATACTATGTACACCTAATTAATCGCAATTCACAATTGGGCGCTTCTACGACTCCGTGAAACACATTCGCCTCGAAAATTACGCGCCTGAGGGAGAGAGAAAACGGGCAATTTGGAAAGTAAATAAAAATTTCAGAATACAAGATATATCTAGAAAAACTAGGATAGGATGAGAAACTTAATAACTACTAAGTATTAGGAATTAGCGTGTGAAGCGAGGTCCGAGAAGAAGAGTCTTTCTTTTATATGAATCAAATGTATCCTTCACCATTGCCACCTTTTTAGACGCTCGTGCACTGCAAATCCGAGTGTGTTATTTCAGCTGTATCTCTTTTTACGCGTTTCTCACTGTTTCGAGTCATTTAATGTTTAAAAACGTATTAGATTATAGTTTACACATGTTAAACGACGGGATGTAAAACCGCAAAATAAACCTCAAAAAGAGCTTCAGCCAAATTACACGCTTATGCGTTTTAAAATAACACACTTGGGATGGTGTGCAGTTGTGTGCGAACTAAAGTAAAAGTACCCCAATTTCCGGATATGTATCTAATGCTAGACACTTTTATTGTTTTGATCTTCAAATGTGAATGCGTCCAATAAGGTAAATTAAATAAGGCTCTGATATTAATCAATAAATTAATTAGTAAAGCTTTTGAGAGCCAAGCACAGATAGTTTAGTGCCATTAAAGAGATAAACGCTGTTACATACATAGACAGAAAAAGTTTGGTGAAATTAAACAAGAAATGGTGAAATATGCGTGAAATCTTATTGAAGTTGCCAGAATTCTGCTCAAGATAACAAGATTTCTGATTAACTTGAACAGTTGCAAATTTTGGTTAACCGGAAATCTTGTTAATTTGAACAGAAGCCAGAATTTCAATTGAAATTTCTGGTTCACGCATATTTCAGCAGACATTTAATTTACCCAACCAAACTTCCTTTCTCCGTGCAGTATAACATTTAAACTTTCAACATAAAATGTAAGTATATATTCAATACTACATTAAACTACTCCTGGTGTTGCCCGGGTTATCACAGGTTATCAAGGGGATGAAATCAAGGGAAGAAGACGGAATGTATCCAGGTTTCATGTATTTTATAGAATCCTAAAAAATAACTATGCAAAACTTGGTTCAAGTCGGTCAAACAGTTTAGGAGTTAATTGGGAATATATAGACGGATATTCTCTATATTATATATATATATATATATATGTGTGTGTGTGTGTGTGTGTGTGTGTGTGTGTGTGTGTGTGTGTAAATATTTTATGTGGGAAGTTTAAGTATTCGTGTCGAAAGACTAAAGTAGTAAGAATGTCCAGAGGTAGGTACGTGTCCAGGCATTGGCACTTTTACCTTACGAAGCTCGCTCGGAGTTCACAGCGTGAATTCCGGCAATTCGATTGGTCGGTCGCCGACCAAGAATTACATTTACATGATTTCCCGGGCGCCGAACGTGCGCCTGACGCGTCTTTTTCCTCTATCAATACCAACGACGCGGCAAGAATACACTCACAGCCGAAATATCTACCTGCACGATTCGGCTAGCCTCGTGAGTCATCCAAGCCCGTCTGTTTGTTAAGTGTCCCGACACCTCGTCACGCATTTCTGCCGCGTTAATCGCGATCACGCCGCGGACAATCGTGGAGGGAAGCGTCTCTTCTGTTTCTCGGCTACGATAATTCACGTACACGCAAACAAAATTTCAGTTGGTACAACCAAATAGGAATCGACTGAAAATTAGATGATCAGAAACGATATCTCTGTTATGAAAACTAATATTTCTGTTATCGCAACCAAAAATATTCGTCTGAACATTCAATAATATTAGAACTCGGTTGAGTTCAACTGAGAACAATTGACTATACAGAAGCTTCATAAAAGAATTTTTCTGTTCCTACAGCCGAGTTTTCGTCTGATCCCTGAGCAACCGAAAATTCGGTTGCACCAACAGAATTGTTTTTTGCATGTAATTACCGAACTTGCGCGCCGCCGCAATTAACGCCGTGTCATATCTCCGTGTCGTCAGAGATACGAGGATTATCGTTCGCGTTCGCGTGCGGAGATGTGTGGGAAAAAATGTAACGCACAAGTTCGCAGGTGGGATTACGCCATTATCAACCGTGACACTCGCGCGTGTCACAATCACTTCGAGTGTGGAAAAATACGTTTAAGACGGACCGATACGACTGTCGCATCGAGCCGAGAGAAGATTGATCGCGCATGTGTGTGCTTGCGTGCGTGTGTGTGTGTGTGTGTGTGTGTGTGTGTGTGTGTGTGAGAGAGAGATTGCGAAACCCACCGTCCTCGATCCGAAGCGACGACGATCGACGTCCCCCGGAGCGCAGCCGTCGGATCGACGACGTCCTTACCGATCAGTGCCGCCTACTTCGCGTGTCTCACTGCACTTGCTTAATTTACGCACACCCGACGCGACTTATCCTTTTTCGGCCAACGCACTCAGCTCTCTGGCGAGTCACCTCTACTATCTCTCGTCGCGCCTAAACGCCCGGAGCTACGGCTCGGGCTCCTCTTGGCCAACAACAGCGGCTCCGAACCGGATGTTTCCGTAATGATATCCAAGAAGCCGTGTCGTCTCACACAAACGATATCGTGCACATTTGTATCTTCGATTCCACCGTCGTTTTTCTTTCTTTCTTTTTGTCAGCTCTAGAGTATCGAGCTTCGGGGAAAGTCTCGTGGATATCACGATCGTAAAGGATCGTCGCGCGGTCGATAAATACAAAAATTAATCCGGGAGAGTTCACGGCGCTGAACGGCTCCGCGTCAATCCGGTCCTCCGTCGGTTCGCAAGAAAGCAAAATTATTTTCCATTTCTAGTCGCGGTCGAGCCGGCACGCGAACGGTGAAACTCGGGAAAGCACACTGACGCGATGACGCGACTCGAAGAGTGCACAGAGAACTCTCACCGATCGGCGCACACACGTCGTCGTCGCGATCGCCGCCGATCGTACCTGGCGAACGGACGAGCAGCAGCAGCAGCAGCAGCAGCAGCAATCGCAGCCGCTGCCATCGGACTGCTCCTTTTTCAGGGCACGCTTTTCACCAGCCTTTTCCGTGGTTCCTGATACGCGAGGGAACGCGGGAAAACACCTGCGCGATCGCACGTACGTATAACGCGCGCGCCACGAGACACACGTACCGCGTAAGGGCGAAACCGACACGACACTGGATGAGAACGGGCAACAGGTTCGTCGGCTTGCCCCCGAGGAACGCGACGACGGTAAGGGGAGAGCGAGAGAGGACGACGGTCGGGCAGGGCAGCGGAGGGGAAGGCGAACGGCCAGCCAGGTAAGCCAGGTAAGCCAGGTAAGCCGCCATTGCTCCTGACGCAGCATCCAGTCCGGCAGTGGCGTAATTAACGGGCCTCGTGGGGGCCCTCCGTTAGTATCTCGTCTCGCGCGAGCACGAAGCAAGGAAACTAGTGTCGGAGGCCACTAATGGCACGACTTTTTTCCCAAAGCGAGTGATTTTTCGGCCATGACCCGCGTAGTCGCGTGAACGCGAACTTTTCGTGCGGCATTGTCTCTCCCTCGCATCGCCGCGAATTGTAGTGGTTGTGCATATCTCTCTAATGCGCGAATAAGTTTAATTTTAATTGTCGCTTTGTGGCTCTAAAGCGACATGAAAAGTCGCAGATAATAAAGTCGCTTGTTGTTTTTCGTTACGAGCTATAAAATATTAACATTTGTTATCTCAAGTCTGAGGCCGCTTTCTCTTGAAGCTTTCTTCAACGAAAACGACGTTTCGACAAAAATCGTCTCTTTCTCTCAAAAATCAGGCGAAGGTTTCGCACGGGCCGCAAAGATGTTACGCTTCTTATGCCGAGAATTCCAAGACACCCGCGTGTAATCCACACGCGGGCGTAGTCATTCGTTCTTCTCGTCAACGTTCGATGTTGGCACCTGCGATAGGAAGTGCCGGTTACACCACTGCGGCAACAGGTTGTTGCCAATGAGAGAGTTGCCATGAATGAGCGAGCGAGCGAGCTCGTTCCGTGGCAGCACGACTTGCCGCGCGTTAAGCCAGAAACGATCTTTCGTTGCCGGACACCGGCCGGCCGTCGTAATCCGTTGCCGCTCAATAAATATGCAAAATCGCGCCCGCATTCGAGTCACGCGCGTATTCCGCGACGCTCGGTGGGTGGCTTATCGGCAGCGAGCGGCGAAACGCCGACGGATTCTCACGATCCGCTTCGCGAAGCGCGATTGCGAAAGAGCAACGTGCCGCTCACACGGAGGCTCACCGGGTCATTATCAAAAGCGTTGACAGTCCTGTTGCCGCCAACTGATCTGAAAACTCTGCTCCGATAAAACAGAGACAGATTGTTGCATCATCGAGTTAGGGGCTCTCGACTGATTAACATCAAAACTAACCATTCAGGGGATAATGGGATCCATAGGTTGCTTTCCAACAAGAGGCACAAGTCGACGCAAGTATCATCCTATCTTTGTTACTCACTAAATTGGAATGTAAACTAAACTAAAGATAGAATGATGTCTGTGTCGGCTTGTGTCTCTTGTTGGAAAGCAACCATAATGAACTCCAAAAATGTCGATAACGTAGAGACGATCAGCACTCAAATATCCTTTTCATATTTCTTATACATATAGATTTTACGTAAATTTACATCCTGCAGAACTTTTGGATCAAATAAATAGTTACGCCAACTGACAACTCGGGATGCCAGTTTTAAAATATCTTATCGTTTTCGTCGCATATCAAGCAATACTCCAATTCATTATTACACATGCCTTCAGCGTGTAAAAGCAATTCTGTGCAACCAATACGATGTAAACATTGCGAAAAAAATCATCATTTTGTCAGCAAAATCTTGGCATCCCCTTAACGACCCCTATTTCTGTCAAAACAGTAAAAAGAACAATTTTTGAAAAAAGAAAAGGGTCGTCTGATAGTTCTGGTGGCCGTAGTATTATGCGCATTTATTTTGAGAGGGCGTACATAACGAGTGAGATTGCGTGACTGTTCAGAGATCTCGCGGGAAGATACATAATAATGATAATTTTGAGAGTTCGTTATTGCCCCTGATAAAATCATCGATAATGGCATGATAATGGAGGAAACGTTGCTGGAGATTGCACACGTGAATACATTACATATCGTCAAAAATGATTGGTATTCGCAACTATTTTCTACTATTAGAATTTAGTATTATTATAGAGAAATAATCACACTAGAAATCATCGTCTCAAGGAAACTATTTTTTAATTAAATTCTACTATAATGTCAGTGGCAATAACCTTAGATGCATGTTACTATTACATTTTCGTATTAGAACAACAAAAAATATGGCTGTATCAAAACTAACTACCCAGGTCAACCATGTTTTGCTCTCAGAATATGGCGTAATTTTTCCTCCCGGTAACATAATACTACAACGTGAAGACGTAATGCCTTCATATATAATATTCGTTCGTGAAGCTATGCTCTAAGGATATCCGGAGGACATCGAAGATTGTCCCCTCGTATTTTCTTTCGCGCAGATGGATCGGCAGTCGGCGGAGGGAGATAAGAACGAGGAGCAGGTAGAGCGAGTCGAAGGAACGCGGTGTAGGGGCCCAGCTGCGATAGCGTATGTACGGTAATTGCCATCCATCGCGCTCCGTAGCCGTGACGGAAGATTGAGAAACGCGAGACGCGCGCGCACGAGCTCTCGCGAAGCCAGCGTGCGTCCTGTCGTGCGTAGAGTACGAGCAAAAAGTGCCATCTGCGAAGGACTTCGCTCTCTCTCTCGCGGTCTTCCTTCCGCGACAAACCGAGCTGAACTCGCGCGGGAGTTCGTTGCTTGGAAATAACAATTTAACAAAAAATCAACGGAATTCCACTCGCGATAACGTCGCCTGGAATGAAAAAGCGTTTTATCATGAAAGGAGTTTGGAGTCTATTTTACCGAGTGATAGCTCGCGGTCACTTAACTGGGTTTGAAATCGAGAGGAATGGATGAAGATAAAATAATTCCTGCGTCAAAAGACGAACTGGAGTAACGCGGTATTCGACTGATTGAATCTTCCCGAGTTTCCGCTTTGAAAGTTACATCATGTGCTTGTTATCAATAATCGTACACTGAAAAAATTATTGATGTGCGTTATTAATCAAATTTCTGGCGAAATATAAAAGAATCGGAAAATTTCGAGTCAACCTGTCCAAGTTAATCAGAAATCTTGTCAACTTGAACAGAATGCCGATAACTTCAAGCGAAATTTCTGGTTCATATTTCACCAGAAATTTGGTTAATCCAATCAAACTTGCTTTCCCGTATATCAGTACACTTATAATCGATGTTGACAATTCTTTAGCAATCGCATATCGCGACATTCCTCGACGTGTTATCAATATCGAAGCGACGATTAAACATTATCGATACTCAAATATAACTTAACCTAACTTTAATTTCGGTAGATTTAAAGTTCTATGTTAAGGAGATGCTCGACATAGCACAGTTTTCTCTTTTCTCTTATTTGGGTGGATTAAATTGAAAATGCTCTTATAGAATAAAAGTACAAACATTAATGAATATCTGAGACTAAACAGTTGCGTGAAATCAAGAAAAAATGTTTTTATTTATCGACTGATCATAAAAAGTTTTTTGTTGATTTCATACTACTGTTTTTCATAAAAGCATTTTTAATTTGATGCATCTAATTAGAAGGAAAAAGAAAATTACGAAGCTGCGGTTCCGTTATCGCGACGAATCGAAACAACTTCATCCTCCGAGCAAGGAGACTCACCGCATGAATCAAGCGTATGTATGTACAACCGCGATGCCTGCCTCGGTCGATCTACTCGCGCGCGTATATACGTCGCTCCATCACGAGATGGAGCCAGCTGATGCGCATTGTTTTCTTTGCGCCGAACAGCTGTCAAAGTCGCGCGCGTGTGGCGATTTCGTCCGTCGTCGTCTCGAAGCAGTGCGACGTGTTGTGAAACGTACGGTGTGATAAGCGCAGAAACTGCGTGCATGCGTTGTGTGTATATATGTGTGTGTGTGTGTGTGTGTGTGCGCGCATACATATGTGAGGAATGCAGTGTATAGCGTAACACGATGCCCCGTGCGACGCATAGATCTCGACTCTGCCTGTAAATGCGACACGGACGATTAATCGGGGATAACCTCTCGCTGCCTGATCGCGGACAGCGAAAGAGACACGCGCGCGCCTTGCCACGTCGTAGAGCCAGCAGAAACGCCCATCGCAGCCTCACGGCATGGCGTGCCTGCTACTGAATCAGGAAAATGTGCATCTCAAGATACCGTCGACCGACACGGCGGACGGGGTGACGTACTACTGCATCGAGGTTAAGATCGCGTCGATCAAATGGACCGTGAAACACAGGTAACGCACCAGCGGTCGCGCGCGCGCGCGCGTCTTCGCCGCGAATCCCTCGACCCTCGCCGCGACGCTCCCGACCGATTCCGACTGTCGGTCTCGACGAAATAAAAAAAAAAAAAAACAATTCACGATCTCCCCTTTGCTCTCAAGGTACAACGACTTTGCGGAGCTGCACGAGAAGCTCGTGTCCGAGCACTGCGTGGAGAAGGATATCCTACCACCTAAGAAGCTCATCGGCAACAAGTGCGAGGCCTTCGTGGAAAAGCGCAGGCTGAGTCTCGAGATATACCTCAATGCTGTCTACAACTACCTGAAGAAGGCCATGCCTACGGAATTGGCTGTATTTTTGGACTTGCACGTGTACGACATATACTTCCTGCTGCAGAGCATGGCCTTGGAGTTCTTCACCCGCGGCGACGCTCTGCTACAAACCTCCACCAACTACAAATTTAATCCTGTACAAGTAACGTAACTTGACTTCACACTCATCGCTGAGAACAAAAGAGTGACGTTACGTGTCACTGATCTATGCTAATATCTATTTTCAGCTGTACGCGATTAGCGAGAGATTGAAGCAACCGTGCTCGTCTATGGAGGTCGTGGACAAAAAGTACGACTTTAGCCACGTGTTGGACTTCAACTCTCACCTGACCAGTCTCATCATCGAGGGCAGCGCGGAGCCTTACAGAACCAGCAACATCTATTCCTCCGCGTTGTCCGTCGAACTGTCCACCTTCAAGAACGTGCAGTACCTAACGATCGACCGATACCCCGTAGACAAGATCTACAACATGGGCAATCTACGGGACACCGTGAGTGTGCTGAGGGTCACGCACACCAAGCTCCGTAACATCGTGGAGCTGGCGATGTGCGAGGAGGTGCACAAGAACATCGAGAACGCGAACGACTCACACGTGTGGCTGAAGGTGACGCATCTGGACCTCAGCGACAATCGCATCGAGACGATCGACGAGGCGATCAAGCTGCTGCCGCACATCGAGTGCCTGACCCTCAACAACAATCACCTGTCCGAGATCTCGAATGTGACGCTATTGCCGCGGCTGTCGCAACTCTATCTAGCCTCGAACAACTTCACCAGCCTGCCGAACGATCTTCACACGAAGCTCGGTTACATCGTGTACATCGACCTGTCGCAGAACAAACTCACGTCGCTCGCCAGCTTCTCCAAGCTCTACTCGTTGGAGGGGCTGGACGTCAGCTGCAATCGCATCGAGAGGATCGAGGAGGTGAAGAACATCGGCCATCTACCCTGCCTGGAGCACCTGAGGCTGACGGGAAACCCGGTGTCGACGATAGTCGACTACAGGGTCAAGGTGTTGGAACCGTTCGGCAAGAGAGCCGCTGACATTTGCCTCGACAACGAGAAGCCGAATCAAAAGGAGCTCGACACCGTGTCGGTGCACCAGGCGTTGCGCATCGCGCGGGAAGGTAAATCGCCGACGTTCACCGCGTCCGACGCGCCACTGTTTTCCGCCGAAATCCCGAGTATATAGGGATCCCGATCGAGCAACCCTTTCCCCCCCCTCTCGCCACGCTCAGAACAAAAAGTACGAGAGTAAAATCTTTTTATACAACGCGTACATTTTTATCACTTCACGAGACTGAGTCCCCTTCCTCGGCAAAGCCGTCGTCGTATCGTTTTTACTTATTTCGACACGTATGTACTCACGTATGTTGTGTTTGATGTATGCAAACGGATAACACAGGCAACGTATGGAGATAAAGCGCCTTCGTTATCGTGCTTTTAACCGTCTTCTGAGAGACGGGCAATTTTAACAGTATAAACGGTGGGGGAAAAAGTAAAGGAATAAAATGAATAAATAAAGTTGCGCGCTTGTCGCGATGTCGTCTCTCTGTGTTTTAATTCGGCGAGTAAGCAAATCTAAGAGATACGCTTCTTCAAGCAGGAATAAAATGTCACAGATCCATGACAAAATTGCACGAGAACAACTTCTAACGCGTGCACTCCGAGCGAGACGAATTCGTGCAATTTCTACGGTTTTTCTACGTGCGATGTACATATCGGCGCACGCGTTACGCGATTTCCGTCTATAACGTGAACGATCACAACTAACGGAACTACTTTTAATATACGATGTATTCGTGATCATTGGATTTTTTTCGAGATGCTCTCACTATGGTTAGCGTGAGTCGCAGTCAATTGTGCGTAATTCTATTTATTCTAAAAGATAAATTATTAAACAGTTCTATTTAATTTAAAGTGCAGAACGCACGAAACAATCTGGCGTATCGATTTTATAATTTAACGCAAAGGATTGAATCTGTATATAAGAAAGATGTATTTTGTTAATAAAGACGAATAAACCAGCAATCTGTGATAACATGTGTGCCTTTTTTACCGACAGCATGCCATTGTCACTGCTGTTATCCTTGCTACTGTATCATTGATCTCGACGGTACACTGTAAAAACTGATGTGTTCAATTTAACATTTCATGTGTTCCAAATCACTCTCACTCTTATTTACGTGTAAATTTAACACAAATATGCCGAAATATAAAAAGTAACACGCATAATATGTAAAAAATTAACACAAGAATTTAACACTTGAATACCGTCAGGAATCACAATTTGTATTAAATTGACATATGTATAATATTAAATTAAGTAAAATAAAACGTTACTTTAACATTTGAGAGAAGTATTAATCTATGATTTTGATGAAACTGAAAATGCTAAATTGATATAATTTGTCTGTTATATATTAAATATGTCAATTTAACACAACTTATGATTCCTAACGGTATTCAAACGTCAAATTCTTGTGTTAATTTTTCCATATTATGCATGTTACTTTTTGACACATTTGTTTTGTGTTAAATTTACACATAAATGAGAGTAGATAATTTGGGACACATGAAATGTGTAAAATTTAACACATCAGTTTTTACAGTGTAGAAGAACAAAATAAAAAAAAAACTACAATTCCCGCCAATGTCACTTATGTGAGTCATTGTTCATTCGATGTGTGAGAGGAAACGGATTATTCGTGTATCTCGTCGGAGGGGAGGAAAAATCCGACGCGAGTTCGCTTTATCGTTGATTTTTATTTAAACTTCCGCGCGTGTATCCGCATTACCTTTAAATATTATGCGCATCTCTCGAAAATATTAAAATATTCATAAATAATATCAATATATAATGCTTACGTATGCTAAGCATCGTGTTATAGTCTTTTAACGTACACCTAAACTAACACATATATAAGTTAACCATTACAAACGTTTTGTCCCGTTTGATTTGCAATAGTTGGACTCGTTGGTGCGCGGTGCACAAGTAAGCACAATACAGCTCACAGCTTCTCTCTCTTGAGAGAGAGAGAAAAAGAGAGAAAAAAAAGAGAAACGCCTAACTAAAATATATGTATATCTTCTTCAAAGGCAATGCACGTTTCTGAAAAAAGTTACTAGCTACTAGTCTACGAGGGAATCCGAAATATCATGTGTATCAAAGGAATAAAGCCGCACGTATGAAAAAGGAAAACGTTTTATCAAACATGTGAATTTTTCACTTTTATATATATATATATATATATATATATATATATATATATATATATAGCACTTCAACACTGATCTAAATACGTTTGATTAGCTTCTGCTTTTTTTCTTCTTCAATTAGCGAAATTCAATTTTGTCGCGTACGCATCATGTATTCGGCGTAAATAGCTTTTATATCTTCGCTATATATATATATATAATTTTATATATATATATATATATATATATAGTTAAAATTGGTCAAACAACTTTCTCGCATGGATAAATCGATTTGAGTGTATGTGAGAGGTCGTTTCTTTTCTTTTCTAATCGCTGTGAAGGATCAACAGAAGAAGGACTGTAGGACTTACGGTTTGGTTTGGTTACTCGAAGGAAAAGTCCGGTTTTAGTGAGTGATGATCGGAACGGGAAGGATGTTTTTTTTCTCGAAGCGGGAAATCTCCGAAGTCGATTCTTCGCGACTCGTCCGGAGTTTACTGATGCGCGATCGGGATTAGCTTCTCGCCGGCGCCGATCGCTGGTAAAGGCGCCTCCACAGTAAGGACACCGTCCTTGCTCAAGGAAGACTTGATGCTCTCGGGATTGGTTCCCTTCGGCAACAGGAATTCCCGATTGTACTCCCTGTACACCGATTTGCTCTCCGTCTTCTCCTCGTGCTTAGCGTGGACCTGGAACAAACGAAAATACCATCGTATTCTTATTAAAACTCGAGGAACTTTATTAAACCTAAATTTTTTATTTAACCTAAAAATAGATACTAAGTTTGTATAATCACACAGTGACAAAAAAGTTGGAACTTTTTGTGAGCTTTGAAAATCATTCGTCTTATATATAAGATAATTTATTGCTCAGTAATTCTCACACGGAAATTTTGCCGTTGAATGCATTCTGCTGTCAATCTCACGAAATTTTAAATTCTTCACTTATATGATTTTTTCATCTGAGATTATGTATTGCGTAAGTGTGTATCCTTGTTTGTGTAATTTTATTAGATTATCGTGGTACAAGTAAGAATTGCATCTATTTCCAAGTGTAAAAAAGTCACGTGTTCGTTCCAGGATCGATTTTCTAATTTTTCAAATCGATTTTCCGGAACGTAAGTCGCGTACGCTTCGCACGCGATTCATTCACGATGCACACGTGCTCGTCGACGTGAATTTACAAGTTCTCGTTTGCACTAGCCTCGCGTGCGGCCGCGGCAGTAAAGCGCCCGCGTCGCAATTGATTTATCATCACGAATGCACCGTCGAATGCAACGCTCTCCTCATTTCGCGACCTCTCCGTCTTCGAAGAAAAGTTGCACGTACGAGAATATTCTTGCCGCGAGGAACCCAGAGAGCACGCACAGTTTCTATCGCAAGCAACGGCGGAATTATAGTCTCATGAAATTCTCCCGAGCGATAACCGTGAAACGCGCTCCTCGACGAGCACGCTCCTTCCTCGCGTGACGCTCCTCTCTCATGGGCAATTTCCCTGGACGATCTACGAGATATAGGGCGAATGCGACCGGAGTGAGATAGCGACCGTATTACTCATTCGTTCGACCGGCGTGAGTCATGACCCACTCCGTTTGACCATGCGTAGGTTTCGTCTCCTTAGTCGACGCGTAGGCAGGCTAGTATATAACGTGTCAGACATCGATCTCACTTTTCCACACGCGGATAACACGCGCATTGTATTGCGGATATATTGCGCGACTCGCACGGGATATCGATTGCATTTTCACGAGATACTTGTAAAGAAGAGAGAGCGTCGCGTATATCCAAGGACAAGGCCAACAATAAAAAGATGCAATTTTCGTAAATCCTCGTAACATTCCTCAGTCCTGACACACTTTCCAAGATTTCAAGAATAGAATTTCTCCCAAAAAAAAAAAACAGAACAAATTCGAGTGACTCTTCAGTCATAGGGAATGCATTCTCCACCTTAAGTCGTCAAATAAATTTCAATTCAAAATTGAATTGTCAATCCAACGTACTCCACTGATATAGGGAAATAAATCTATTCTGATATATCCCAAGTTTGAGTTGAACATCAAATGAAGTCACTCTCTCGTGACTTCTCGAGGAACTTTATTAAACCTAAATTTTTTATTTAACCTAAAAATAGATACTAAGTTTGTATAATCACACAGTGACAAAAAAGTTGGAACTTTTTGTGAGCTTTGAAAATCATTCGTCTTATATATAAGATAATTTATTGCTCAGTAATTCTCACACGGAAATTTTGCTGTTGAATGTATTCTGCTGTCAATCTCACGAAATTTTAAATTCTTCACTTATATGATTTTTTCATCTGAGATTATGTATTGCGTAAGTGTGTATCCTTGTCCAGCTGCAGTATTTTCTCTATCCACTCTACTCCCTTACTGACGTGCCCAGAATCTTCAGAATAATTTTACAATACAATCAGCTGATACAGGCCTAAGGGCCATGGCAAACAGAAAAACTTAAACAGTAAGTCGTAAGCGGTAAGCAAATTGATCAACCATAATCGATTATTTTTGTAATTCTATTGTAGACGGCTCTTATAACGTGGTCGTGATTTGTTGCTGCTTTCACGAGAGATGGGGCGAAAAATGAAACGAGGCATCCCTCGTGAAAGAAACCTTGTTCTGTGCGACGAAAGTAGGTTACGAGAGCCGCGACGTAATCGGGACAGCTACATTTTATGAGGGAGACATTACTCGTCGCGAGAGATGTCGAGCGATACACAAGAACCCGGGAAAACAGGACGGCAGGACGAAGGACGAGAGGATGCATGAAAACGGCGAATCATACCGCCGTCGATTCTACCTTCTACGTCGCGTTCGCGTTGCGGCTCGAATCGATATCTTGAAGGTGCTTCCTCGTGAATTGCTCTTCGTCTTCCCCGACCTCGTTTCTCGTGCGGGGTTGAGAATATGCCGTTTTTTTTTCACGTTCCTTATAAATGCTTCAGCGAGGAGGTTCATTTTCGTGTACGGGTGTTTCGTTCGCCCGCGCGAATGTCACGCGCACTTTCTCAGCTCCGTGCCCTTCGCGACAAGATCTTATCGAGCGAGACCGCTTTCACGTGGACTCGACCCACGATCGATGGGAATTTGCATTTTATCGGAGCAATGCGATCGCCGTGTGACGTGTACGGACTTTTATATATCCCGCGCCCCAAATTCTTCATACGTAACTCGCTCGCGTGACGCATTACGCTCGTTAAGATTCGCTCCTCGTAGTCATGGTGAAACAATTCACCTAGATCGCATCGACGGAAAAAGTGCCCTTAATAATGAAATATATGTATGAACAACTCGGTCACAATTTATTCATTGTCCTTAAACGCGTATTCCACCGTCATTTCTCCGCAGCCGGTCGTTTCCATGCTCTTATCCTTTTCCCAGTCGAAATTTTAGTCCTACTTTCGATCTGCACTTTCTAATACCTGTTTATTCCGAAGGATCAGTTTATGTTTAATATACATCGAAACTGAAATCTCATCTAAAAACGCAAAAAAATGTTTTTGTAAGTCCTAAAAAAGACCTGTCGGTGAAAATTTAAACAGAATAAAACAAAAAGAGTTTAATGTAGTCTAAGAGTAGCAAAGTGGATGTTAAATGGAATATTAAGGTCAGATAAGATAAGGGAAATAAGATTAAAATGTTCCGATCTCAATGTTCCATACGCGCATTTTGATACTCTGCAGCCTATACCAACTTTCGATTCCATTTAATCTACCAGCTTTGCCGAGAAGTCCTCTTTAGAATCTACAAGTGGCATTTTGTGCGTTTTTTGCCAATTTGAGGCGCTAAGTAGGATCTCACTTTGCATGTGTATCACGCATACACTGATCCTTCAGAATATTACAGATATTAGAAAGTTTTAGGAGCAAAGTAAGACTAAGATTTCGACTTAAGCATCATCGTCCACTTCAGACGTCTCTTGCCGATATTGTCAGTCTGATATGTTTGAAATTACATTTCCGCTGGAAACTGGTTTTTAAGCTGCAAATGCGGTAGTGTGTAAATATTATCGGTAGAATCGCGGATAACATCGTCGCCGAGTTTTGCGCGAACGGGCGTCGTTACGACAAGGCCGTTACATCACATTAATGGTGTGTTCGATCAGCGACATATTTAGAAAACGCGGAGTTTCGTGCGACGGTCGGGAGCGACTCGCCTTGAAGAAGGCGACTATGCAATGTTGATTCACACTGTCAAGTAACGAAGCAGTACACTGTATCTTTGTGTGCGGACAACGAGAGTGGGCATTGAAATATTTTTCTCGGATGTAATGAGGTATTTCTTTTCATTTTAAGTAAACGTGTTTTTCGTGCCTTTCAGGCTTTTAGATCCAAGTGTGTTACTTTGAACGTATGAGCGTGTAATTTAGTACAAACTCTTTTTACGTGTTTCTCACGTTTTTAAATCACGTCACACGTTTAAGACGTCCAAATTATCAGTTTAATCATTTGATGCGTTTAAATGGCGTGACTGAAAACGGTAAGAAACGTGTAAAAAAGACAGCCAAAATACACACTTGGATTCGCAGTGTTAGCGGGCCACGAGCTTATCTCTTGTCGCTCGTTATATCTTAACACGTGATGACATCCCATACAGTCCAGATAAAAAGTTGAACAAAAAAAAGACTCAAAGATTCCAAAATATCAAAAATGTGAAAAGAACCGTTAAGGAATCAAGCTCAAACATATTTGAAAGGCGACTACCAACAGACGAGGTGATAAAAAAATACATGAACTTCCGTTTTCAAGTCGTGTGATATGGATCGCAGAGGATCTCTCCACTTCTCAACGTGAGATATCTCGAGAGTCAGGCGTGCGAAACGAATTCTACGGGGGAAATTTCTCTCGGGGTGACCGCTGATTTTATCTAACTACGATCGAGAACGTGTTCCCTGTCAAACGAGTGTCACGAAATCACGAGACGCACAAAGCCGGCGAGCTTCGCGTCTTGTCGCTCACCAGGTGAGCTTTGAATAGCCAACGCTGGCCCCCTTCATCGCTTAATCGCGATGACATTTCGCGGAGCGTGTCTAGATGGATTGGCCGCGCGTGAAAAATGCAGGTGCGACATATTACGGCCGCGCCCACGCTCGAGCAAACACATCAAAGGCGTCGCGTCGCGAACAGTAGGCGAGGCCTGCCGTGTGCTAATTGCATTACGTAAAAGCCGCTAATGACTTACACCCGCTTAAAACGCTTTGATTCTCGCGAGCGTCCTCCCTCTCCGCCTCTCCTCCCGCGGTCGTGTCCGCGTTGTCAAAGAAGAAACCCGACCGACTAGCAATCCGTCGTCATCGTTGTCGTCGTCGTCATTGTCCGCGACACGTGCCAACGAGTGACGAAATAAATCAGCCTTAACCTTGCGTCACGTGAAAAATTGGGCCGACTGTCGATTCTGAGCCCCTCGTGCCGGTATAGGATCATTGTCCATGTTACTGTACCTGTTTCTATTTGTGTGCCTTTTAAACGAGCCATAAAAAGAAAACACAAATGAATAAAAAAAGTATTTTTTTAATTAAGTTGAAGTGTTCAACTTAATAAAAATACTTTTTTAAACGCGTTTTTTATGTGTTTTTTAATCGTGTTGAATGACGTGATTTAAAACAACAAGAAACGTGTATAAAAAGAGCTTCAGTCAAATTGCACGTTTATGCGTTTAAAAGTAACGCACTTA